TGTTACGAATATGCACTACAAAATATAGGAAGGCGGCGGCATGGGATGTCAGTCACAGTGAGTCATAATTAGTGGAATGGTGAGATCGACGTGAGAAGCGTGTCGTTGAAGATTTGCACTAGATTAAAAAGAATTGTATAACAATATTATTTTCGCAAAAAATGAGCCCCAGAATGTGTTACTCGTTTTTGGCTCTTAGTTTCGGAGATTCCCTATTCGGACATCCAAAATGCAGCACCCTGTACAGGGGTGATTCAAAAGTGTCGGACCAACAAAAAAACTTTCATATAAGCATTAAAATGAATGCAGATTTTTTTCAAGCTTTCTGAGAAAAAACAATTTCCATATTATCACCTTAGCTCTTTTATGTTGTCGGATTTAATTTATTGTTGAATTGCTAGTTTGTTAAATGTTTTGTACACCATAAGATACAAATTGGTGATTTTTTCAACTGACACCTGTTTAATTTTGCAAGATCTGCCGTGTCCGCTAACTTAATTCAAAATGTAAACTTTGAAGAGATATACAGGGTGTTCAAAAAATCGCCCACTTCCGTGACACTGTGTCATCGGGCGGTGCCCTAGACAACAAGAAAAATCTATCTCTAAAAATTCCGAAGTTATGAGAGTTTAAATTTTGCACTTTGCACTATGGCTCTATTTATTTCTGTTGGAAAAATAATTTTCCAAGTTTTTTGCTACAGGTTATTAGAAGAGGAAACAAAGAAGCTGTATCCTAAATTGTAATTCTGTTTAGTATTATTTGTGGCTTTTATTGACAAAATTTTTGTACCTTTAGTAGTTATAAAAAAAAAAAAAACATATACAAGATCATCAGTATCATTAAATGGACTTAAAAAAATGTCAAATGTCAAAAAATAAATATCAAAATTTTTTTGACAGATAGAATTTTTTAAACATTTTTTCAGTACTCTGGGGGACTACTTAATTACTCCCTTACAAGGAAGTGCGCGATTTTTTAAACATCCTGTATCTCGTGAAAATAGATTCAAACAATTTTTTGTCATGGGAATTTTTAACTCAGGTGGATGTCTTTTATCACCGCCCAGGAGATGGTCCAAAACTTTTGAATCATTCTGTATAATAAATATGGAGCACTCCAAGAGCTTTTTATTTTTAAAGATTTGTCCAATTTGTTGAAAGTGATTATTTTCTCGCAATGTTTTAGTGCCTCCCCCCAAATTTTACGTACACTTAAACCCCGTCCAGATCGTCTTCGACGTCGACTCCTGCCTCTGGCTCAACTCTTTCGGTCTAAACCTCTACCAATCTCTAATGTCGTCCAAACAGCCAAGTGCCGCTTCTAACTACACTTATGTCGATGTGAAAATTGAAGCGATTCTCCCACGGGTAAACCCCCTAACTCTTCTGAAATTGAACCCAAACTCGGAATCATTGTAGATCAACTTCGAGAGTACCATCGACTACCCCAATCAACGAGACCGCCCTAAAACGCTTAGTTTTCAAGTCACACGAGTCAACATTACGAACGTGAGGAGTCTTGAACAGTCATCCAGGGCCGACTTGGCCAAATGCGTCGATTCGTTTCATATGGGGTCTCTGTTTTTCGGCTCGGATTTTCCATCACAACCCGCGGATTTCTATGTCGTAACTCAAAAATTTTTAGACCATATTTCCGCAAACGATAATATACGAAGTGTGCCGAACGAGCTCGACGTGTCATCGCTTGAAGCTTTAGTAAGTCGTAGTTGACCAATGAAATGATATAAATAATGTTGCTATATTTTTTGACAGGTCGAACAATTGAGTCGTGAATTGCTATGGACTGAGGCGAAAGACGTGTGGTGTGTGAACCTTGACCCCGTGTGGGGCGACTTTCTGGGCGCTCGGGCTGTGGGTGCAGCCAAACCTGTCCCCTTTCTGGACGCTGTACCTGTTACAGTCTGGCTACACACACATATGGACCCAAATTCAACCATCAAAGTTGAGAAAAATATGGCGAATGCGGACATACATGCCCTGGCCCAGATCTCAAATCTAGTGAGCGTGCAACTCAATCATTATCAATATTTATTTTTGCTAAGACTCGCCGAAGATGCATCCGAAATGGTTACCTTCCTGTCAATTGATTCTAATCGGATTTTGAAGGTATTTCATTTTTTTTTTTGAGTTAGTAACACTTCGTGATTTTTATTTTGCTAGGTTGAGAGTAGTGGGAGTGTTGCTGTGGGAGCGCTCATACCCCAGTTAGAAGTGACGTTTGTTATGCCGTCTCAGTGCCCAGGTAAAGAGTCTTCAGGAGGCGATGTGGAGTCTTTCGTACCCGATTCTTCGAGTATTGCTGATGACGTAAATGTGGGGTCAACGGCGACAGTATGGCAGACTAGTACACTCTCCATCCACCAAGATGGCGCTATTAGAAAAAACATGGCAAATGGTTCGGGTCAGATCGAGTTAAATCGAAGTTACTCGATGGAATTTCCTCAGAGTAGTCCCGAAATAAAAAAAGCGAATCAGTTTGCCAACATTAACATACAAAATAATGTCAATGCGGGTTTGTCTACAGTGAAGAAAGGTTTTGCCAACTTTATGTCATCACTAGATAGCGCACTCAAACCAAGTCCTGATGATGTTAGTGATACGGCGTCAATCCGTAGTGACGCTTCTAGTGACAGTGAAAATTATGTTATGATAAGTATGGAAACATCAGATGCGGCCATTTCCGACTTGATGTTTAATGTGAAAGAATTTTCGTTAGAAAATTCGGGTCCAGTGGAAATAGCCAGTGAAGTGATGGAAGACGAGAGCACCATTACTACCACTAGTGATCACTCAATGACTAGTAGTTGTAGGAGAAAAGATTTGGTAAGCTTGAAGGAAAGTTGTAAAAAAAATATACCCTGTGTTTAGATTTCAGTTGCCACATTTAAATTAAATAAAGTTGAGTTTTTGCAACAATCCATGGGTTATTCGTCTTCCATTAAAGTGCAAGTTGGCAATATCACTTGCGAGGATTGTAGTTCGATTCCTTGGGACGAGTTTCAGGTAATTGTTAAATCATGATCGATTTTTGATTTTTTTGAATGTTTTACTATAAAATATGACATCAAATATTTTTTGAAAAAAAACACGAATAATTGGATTTAATTCAAGTCACACACTTGTACAGGACATCACATAAAATTTCTTAAATTTTCTTTTTGCATGCATCTGAATGTTGTGTGTGGCACAGGCTAAAATGAAGGTATTGGAACAATTTCAAATCATACGCATCTTGTTAATGCACGAAGGTAGAATTTTAGACACTAGTGTAGAGAGTTGACCTAAATAATAGCCCATTATAATTAGAGAAAATTAGTGGTTTTCCTGTGTTGTTGGCAAGGACGTCCGCTCGAAAAAAGATAAAAACAAATGGATTTTGTTGAGTTAGACAAGAAAAAAAAACAAGTAAAAAATTTTGTTTAAGAGTAAACACAGCGAATTGAAATTGTGTTTAGAAGTTGTTAGTCAAAATTTACTAAAATAAAGAATAGATCTATAAATTAATTATTTAATAGTTTAATTTTGCGATTTATTTATTTTTTTAATTTTGTAAAGAGAGAGCGGACGTCTGTTGTCATATTAAACGGTAAGAACACACGAACTATTTTCAAAAGATCAGCAATAATTGGCTTGTACAGCTTCCTCTGTTTATCTATAGCATCTACTCAAATTGCGTAGCTTTTCGTAATTTCGTTTAATTTTCAATCAAAAATTTGAATATTTTTCTCCCAAACTTAGAGCAAATTCAACTCGCGGGCCCGCGCCTGGACTGACAACTCCACAAACAACACAACATCTCCAAAAGTCAAACTTCGTCTTGACCACACTCTAACTCTCCCCAGCTCCAAATCGATGATGCAACTGGATTTCCGAGATCGGGACAACTTGAAAAAACTCTTTCGAGATTTACTAATTATTAAAGTCTCCGATTTGTATTTGGATTTGAATACGAGTACTGTGACGGGATTGGCGGACTTGGCCGAGGACGAAATAGTTCCAATCCCGATCCCTATGCAAATCTCACTGGATAATGTACAACTACACCTCAACGAAGATCGTCCCCCGGTCAACATAACGTCCCCAGGCCCCATTCCTATTGATGTAAATGTAACTCAGTTGTATATAATGAGGTCTACGGATGGCGTTTTCAATATTTTGCCCCACAAACCGAACGAATTGTCTTCGAGTTCGTCCCTGGCTTCAGACCAGGACCAGAAATTGAGTCGCTTGACCTCTGATAACGAGGAATTGAGGCGTCGTTTGGCGGCATTCGAGCGTGTGTCGGAAGAGAATCGCTCGTTGAGGAAATCCGAGGAGGAAACGTCAGTTTTAAGGTCGTGCCTAGTCTCGGCACAAGACGAAGTAGCGCGACTTTTAGACGAGAAAAATAAATTATTGGAGGAGGTAAAACAGTTGAAAATTCAGATGACGAATAGGCAATTGAGCGGCAAAAGATAGCAATGCTGTTTTGACTGCACAAACTGCTGCTCTAATGTTAAAAAGACTTAGGGGTAGTTTAGTCAGTCGTTATTAGTTAAGTGTGAGTAGTTTAGCGCTTTATTGAAGGCTTGATGTTTATTCAAACTTGTTTTTGGCACAAAGAAGGGTAAACTTGCAATAATTACGTTGATATTTACTTTATTTTGTGCTGTGACGTAATTTTAAGTGTAAATATATTTCTGGTCATGTAAATAAAATCGCTTGGATTGATATAAATGCCAAAGAACGTTTGAATAATTGTTCTTCACTCATATATTTCTTCCATCCACTTTAATTAGAATTGTAACACTTTTTAGAGACTGGGTTTCATTATTGTTATATAAAGACGCTATATTTAGTGACAAATTTTATTATAGATTGTTTTTAGTACCATTTTTTTTATTATTTAAAAGTACTTAGAATTTTATCTATGTTATAAATAATGATATTGATACAAACTGCAAAATGTTTCAATAAATTGTTTTCGCATCACTTTGTGTTTGAATCACCACCAAAATGTGGCCCCCATTTAATTACATTAAAATAACACTTAACTTTTGTTTTCCGGTTCAGGAGGTGGAGAATTTTCAGGGCCTTGCTCGTAGGTCGCTTTATGTTTAAGGAGATACGCCGCGAGAGCTGAGATCGGTTCGGGGGGCCGTTCTTTGGCCAAATGAGACAAGGCTTGCATCAGAATTGGGACTACAGTTTGATCCAAATATTGGCGAGTCGGTAAAGACCCCAAATCGACTCGAGTTTTCTTCGGTTGGGAGTCCGGACCGCCTTCCATTACTACAAAACGGTCAAAAAGGGTTCCTCTGACATAACCTATAAATACTCACCGACTTAAAACCGGAAAAATCAGCTAAGAATCGTAAAGCGGGACGTTTGTATAACTGTTTCGAGTTGGTTGCAATAAAACTGCAAGGATATTGACACTTTATGTGCTCAATTAAAAATTTCAATTTATTTACATTTGAAATGAAAGAAATAAAAATTTATTCGCGAGTGTTCGGTGCAAGTCGTATGGCGCGATTTTCAAATTGTTGTCACACCTACTTTGATTGATTATATAACCAACAATACACTAGGACAGGGATTTTAATTTAACACAATTTTAAAACAATTTAGTAGCCTTATTTATATACAAAATCACAAACTGATTCTTTTCTCGTAGGCGGTCCACAATACCTCTTTGTATCTCTTGGCTTCATCCCCGGGATTCGAGGCTTGCGTCACCCCACGGCCCACCACGGCCACATCAGCCCCTCTCTGCAACACCACAACCTCTGGTGTATTATATTGCTGGCTCAAATTGTCCTTAAGTGACTCCAAATGCACCCCTGGGGTCAGCTGAACGAATCCCGGTTCGTCCTCAAACACCACACTCTGACAAACAACCCCAGTCACTAAATCTCCATACTGTCTCGCGAGTTTTATTGAATTATCAACATAATTCTGGTCAATGAGACTTCCAGCGGCGCTTGTTTGGGCCAAAAGGAAAACTCCTCGGTCTGTCAAACCCGGGGCTTGTTTCAACCCATCTAACACACCCTTACCCATCAAAGAATGAGTTGTTACTAAGCTAGCCCATGAGGAGATCTGGTACAAGCCTCTACTGTACTGGAATTGCACGGTTTGTCCAATATCGGCGAATTTTCGGTCCTCAAAAAGGAGAAAGTTGTGCCGGTCGGCGATCTCTTTGAGAGGTTTGAGTACGTTGGGATGGAAGTCGTCGAGGATGTCAATGTGGGTTTTGAGGAGGCAAATGTGAGGGCCCACTTGTTCGGCTAAATTCAATAAGTCGGTACAGGAAGTCAAATCAGCGGCCACACATAACGTGGATTTTTTAGAGGCCATTATTTTGAACAACTGTTGCGAAATCGTGTTTTTTGTGAATTTGGCTCGCTCTAAGAAGGGTAATTTAAGTCTATCTATAAGTAAAAAAAAAAAATAAAAACATAGTTATTTTTTATTATTTACACTCACTGTTTGTTTTTATAACACTAGGGTCAACCTGAGTACTACTTAAATATGTCTTAACTTTCTCAACAATACTTTCATTGACACAATTTGCTTCTTTCAGAAAGGCCATCAGTTGTGTGAGGGTGAGCAATGCATGCATTTTAATACCATTTTTTTTCAACAGTTTTTCACCTCCTTGCTCCCTGTTCAGTAACACAATGGCATCCAAACAATTTATTCCCGTATTTTTTAAATCTCGAACTGTTTCTAAAATACTGCTCCCGGATGTAACAACATCCTCGACAATTAAACAATTATCGCCTTCGTTAAATTGACCTTCAATTAGTTTTTTCGTCCCGTAATCTTTCGCCTCTTTTCGCCTCATTACCATTGGAATATCACTTTTTACCGAAACTATAGTTGCAATAGGCAAAGCGGTGTAAGGGACCCCACAAATAATATCGAATTTGGGTAACTTTTTCTTATAGTCGAGAATCAAATCGGCCAGGTCGTTCTAAATAAAAATTAAGTCAATAAAAAATATTACAATTATTAGGGTACTTACCAGCAATTTAGGGTAACTCACGATTACCCGCAAATCGACATAAACAGGTGTTTGGAGACCAACTTTAGTTTTAAAATCACCGAACTTTATCGCATTTATTTTGAATAATTCAACAGAAAAGGCTTTTAATTTCTCGTCGAACGAACTCATCTTACCAACCACGTGTTGCTCGGCTTTACAGTTTCTGTTTATCTCTGTCTGTGGCGATAACAAATGAATGCGAAACTAGCCAACGCACTAAGACAGAACTATGCAAACATCATTTGAAGGTCGAATAGTTTGTGACCAATAGGATACCGAATTTCCGACGCCATTATAAACAATTGAATATACAGATTGAATACAACGGTAGTCACGTGATGATTCCCTCTGCTATCTTCTGGAACTGCTTCTTCAAGTTGCTTTTTTCAGTTTTTTCAAAGCATAATTATTTTACAGTGTTAGTGCTGTGAATTACATTGTGATAATTAGAGCTCGCAAAATATGCACTAAAAAAATAAAAAAATATGCATGCAAATATGTACAGAAAACTGTTAAAATATGCACTAAAAAACTTGGTGTTATGTTTTCTAACATGCAGTTATGAAATAACAAAATAATAAAGTCATACATTATTATTATTAGCGTTAAATCAAAAGCGTTAAATTCTAAATTATCTTTACCGCTAAAATTTTCTGTTTTTGATAACTTTCAGTTGTTTTAGTATTGTGCTCTTTGAATTTAATAAAAAAATATACTCAATCTAAAAAAATTGTTTCTCTTTTAATATTGGCTACCTCTGGTGGATATGTTGGCGACTTCAGTAATTGAAAATTTGGCAACACTGGTTTACTTCTTCCAGTTGATTTTTACAAACCAATAATTGCGCAGTGATGTGATAACTGATAATGGAACATTTGAACTTGATCTTTGTGTTATTGTGGCTACAACCATTTTTAATAACTACAGAAATTAGTAATTATGTACATAATTATGTATTTATCTACAGTTGTAAAATCTTAATACGTTTTTTAGAATTCGATGTTGATAAAAGACTTAAAAATTTCCAAATGTTCAAATAATGATTACCCCGTGACCGTAAATAATGTCACACTTGTAATGGGCTCAAAACCCAAAATTAAAGTCACTGGGAGTCTGAGTTCCAAAGTTGATCTAGTAGGTCCTGTTAAAGTAGGTACTTCCCCCAATTGTGTATTCGACGTTGATCCAATATTTTTAGGCTTCTTTATGGATAGAACGTGACATTTGGGGGGTTTGGATACCAGTCCCTTGTGAGAACAATTTAGGATCTTGTACTTATGAAAATTTGTGTGATTACGGATTTCCGATTGGTAAAACTTGCTCGGAAATCTTTATTAAAAACAATGTGCCATGTAGATGTCCCATTTCGAAGGGGAATTACACGATTTTGCCATCACTTGATGTTTCAGTGTTGCCAACATCGATTTTATCAGGGACTTACAAAGGTATTGTGAAAGTAACACAAAAAGGATTGTTATTATCGTGTTACAATGTTTATTTTGTCTTATATGATGAATTAGATAATGAAGTGTATTCAGTTACACAAGTATAAAGACTTTTTTTATTATTTTAATAAAATCAATTACTTTTTCGTTTCTTGTTTTTGTTCTTCTTTTTCTTAATTGGGTCTTCTTTTATCTCTTCATTACTTTCATGTAAACGTTTCTCACCACTACAAAATTAGTCACTAAGAGACGTTAACGTAACATAAAAAAAATTCCCAACCTTTTAATTGTGATAATATTCTTCTTTCCTTTTCCCGTCAATATTTTTCCCCACTCTTCCTCAGACCCCTTAATAGCGAATTGAGTCAATGATTCATTTTTTAATTTCTCCAATTCCTTTTTTTGCTTCTTTTGTAACTCTTGAGCAGCTTCATCTAGCTCTTGTTGCATTGACTTCGCAACTGGAGTCAATTCGATGTCTTTCCTGGGGGCTAGGGACTTTTCAATGTCTTGTTCTAGGACTGAATTTAAGTACTGGACGATTCGTCTTATCATACGGTTAAAAAGACCCAAAAGTTGGGATGAAGGCAAATCTAGCTCGGCTGCCAGAGTATCAACCGTTTTGCATTGGAGGCCAATTCCTAACAAAATTGCCTAAAATTCATGTTTCTCATTAAAGAAAGAAAAAAAAAACAGCAAAGTTAGTACTGATTGCACTGCTGACATTTGAACATCCCCCATCTGGTTCAGGAAATATAATTTTGCTAAAGTTGGCAATAAGTCGATGATTAAATGATAATCAACTAAGTTATTACTGTACATTTCTAATCGTTTTATGTCATAACTGGTCAAATGTATTTCTAATTCGGCTCTAGATAAACCTAAAATTAATTAAATTTCTCCATCTCGTTCCATAACGTTGGTGACTTACTTTTGGGTGCCACTTTGCGTGTTTTATTGGTCAGAACACTCAAAGCAAGACTTGGAGAAAATTTACTAAACTGGTACCCTAAAAGATTAACAAAACGTCTCCTGAAATCGCTCCAATACGCCATTAACCAATCATTGCCCCCTTCTTCATCATTCAGGACATTCAACATTATACAGGAATGCTCCCCTGTCAAATCGTTCGTCGTTTGCCTCAAATATACCGGAACATACCCAGCTCTCTTCCAAAATTTCAACAATTGTTCAGTTAAACCGTACGAAACCCCTAAATAATCTAATTTTTCCGGTTTGCGATCACTTAGTTTCGTTAACAGAGGCGGGAGACTCTTCCTAGGCTCGACTGTTTCCTCCAGAAGGCCGACTTCCTCCTCCCTCACATTATTTATCTCCTCTACTACATCCTCAAACTCGTCGGTACTCGGGATTTTAAATTCGTAGTACTGTTTGAGTAAATTGAGGGCTTTCGCCCCGTAACCCATCCCTTGGTAGTCCGGATGTGTTGCAATACGGACAACACGGGCCCCGGATAGTCGTGGAAAGTCCGGATCTTGGTATTGCTGACCCACCGTCCAAGGGATTAAATCTCCTGACGCTCTTTTCCCTCGGGAAAAACCCTCAACAACGGAGGATTTTGAAATTTCACCTTCAAGGCATACTTGGATTATGACTAGGACTTCCGGGAGGGATTTTCGGTTGGGATCAACGGGGCCTAAGAGACAAAACAAATGATGGGCAGGGGCGTCCGACATCATTTGAAGATCGTTCGGAGTGTTCTAAAATAATCATTTTTAGTGTTAATGAGAGTAATAAACTGGTGGTGTTTGTACTTTATAATGCGAAGCGACGTAAAGTGCGACAAGTCGTTGCAAAAATTCCTCTGATGCTTTATGGTAACAAAAGAGTGTGTCACGATTTATGTAATACAAATCGCAGGAGTCAGGCGGGGGACACCCCGATAAAATTGGGGCTACTGAAGTGGCGTCGAGACATAAAAGTTTAGTGAGCCACGTTTCAACGTCATCTCCGGGTTTGTACCGAATTGATTCGTCCAAAGCGACCTAAATATTTTTTTAAACGAAATTGTTACTGGAATTAGAAAAAAATACCTCGTGAAGGGTACGACCGGTGGCGGCCCCCGAATCTTTCTTATTTGCCGCATTTGTATTGGCACCCACTGGAACCGCTTGAATTCTTAATTGTTGCAATAATTTTAAAGATAATGAGCGACCGGTGCCCTCATAACCGTTGATAGTTGAGGCCAAAAATACTAAATACGGCCCTAACATTGATTTGACATATGGGAGAGGAATTGCGGCTGCTTCGTCGATTACTAGGAGTTCGGCTTGGCTTAACCTTTGACTATCAGTCGGTTGGATGTACTAAAAAACAAAAAACTGTTTTTTTTTTTGGTTACATAGTAGAAGTCTTACCTGAATTGTCTGTCTGTGGTCTCTAAAAATATTCACACGAACTATAGCTTTATTAAATTCAGGATTCGTGCTCTGTACTAGACTGTAATCGATATGTTCTTGATATTCCAATGCATCAAAACCTTTAAAAACAAATTCGAAAAACGTGTTTAAATTCTCCGGGCTAGGACTCGTTACGAATATATTCGAGTATCCAAATGCCACCGCTGCGGCTACCGAGAGCCCTAGAGCGGCTGATTTTCCGCGCCCCCTCGCCGCGGTTAGAGACACCGTTGACCGAAGTGACTTCTCCGAAATCGCTTCAATAAATTTCAAAAGCGCCTTAGCTTGGTCGAGGGTCTTGCAACAGTTGATTAAATTACCGACGGGTTGAGTGTCTCTGAGTTGGTTTTTGAGGTCAGTTAATTCGCTTTCAGAAGGCAAGGCGTCTTGTGATGGCTCAACTGGGGTCACGTGGAGGTTGTGTGAGGAGATTGGGAGGACTGAGAGTTGGTCATCGACGACAAGGCAGCGTTTGCAGGAGGCTAGAGATAGGAGGAAACGTTCGTTGAAACGGCAAACGATGTCTTGGTGGGCTTCCGTCCGGAAGCGTTGGTGGACGTCCATGCTCATAGTGTATAATTGTTTTAAAGATGTCACTGAGCGTAATAAAATGACTACTAAGCCGCCCCCTTCAACCGTTTCAATAGTCCGAGCTAGAAGATTGGGGGTCAAGGCTTCAAAATCTTGGAGGACGCACATTCCATACGTGTTGCCCAAAATTTTGTGAGTTTCAGAGTAGTAACAGTAGCGGATTTTAGTAGAGGAGAGGAAAAGTTCAAAGGGGTCATCCTCATTGATGTTAAGTTTGCCGGTTTGTATTTTGTGTTGGAGTTGTTTCATGCGCTTTTTTCGATGACTACTAAACCCTAACTCCTTTTTATAACACCACAAAACAGATGGACGAGCCTTGACTTCAGCTTTCGCAAGCATGTGGTGAAGAATCACCACCTAAAAACGAAATAAGAACCGGAGAAAAATGCAATGTTATAATTATATACCTGATCCCGGCCTTTATCCCCAACTATAGCAAATAATGTCCGATGTCCCAGCTTGACACCATTCTCAATCAACACTCGAATCCTATTATCAATTTTTTTACGCACCATTTTTACAAAAACACAAACACGTTTTTATTTTTTGAGGTTAAATAATCCGTTCTGTGAATAATCCTTATAAGTGAGGTTATGTAATTTTTTTTATAGGGAATTTGGTTTTGTAACTGATGTTAACTCAACTCAGCTGATTGTCAAATGACGAACGTTATTTCTTTGAAGTCATTTTTTTACACAAAAACCAATTGATCAACATGATTTATTTTTTCTAATGATCTGGAAATGTATTCTTGATGTAACAAAGTGACTCATTTGAGGTAAATTAATTTTTTATTATTTTCGACTCAACTACGCAATTTTGCTTTTTTTTTATCAAATAGCGATTGCAGAATTATCTGAATGGAGTAAAAATGGAGAACAGGGCATCAGCGAATGCTAATGAAGTCCCCTCAATTGATAAAACAACAAATTACAAGAAAATATTTAAGATTATTGTCATTGGGGAATCAAATGTGGGGAAAACTTCCTTGACTTATAGATTTTGTGAAGGGGCTTTTTTGGAACAATCGGAGGCCACGATTGGGGTTGATTTTCGGAGCCGAAACTTAACAATAGATGGAGAAGACATAACTGTAAAAATTTTGCCTTAATACGATTTTTTAAAATTTATATTTTAATTTTTAGTTGCAATTATGGGACACTGCAGGTCAAGAGAGATTTAGATCATCAATGGTAAAACACTATTATAGAAATACGCACGCGATAGTTCTAGTTTATGATGTCACGAATGCCGCTAGTTTTGATTCATTGAAAAAATGGGTTGAGGAGTGTAATAGGAATTGTCTCCATGATATTCCAAGAATTCTTGTTGGGAATAAGTGTGATGGAGTGGCTGCCGTTACCACAAACGTGGCGCAGAGATTTGCAGATCAATACAATATGCCGGTAATAAAAATATTTTTTTCCGTTTTGAGGCTTAAAAAAGTATCATTTGTAGTTATTTGAAACCTCTGCAAGACTCGACTCTCATTGTGATAATATAGAAGCGATTTTTCTAACTCTGGCTCACAAGCTAAAAAGTCAGAAGCCTTTTCTACCTGTCACTAACAATATTGTAGTGGATAGTGTTGTAGAGCCATCTACAAAATCATGGAGGTGCTGTTAAATAATTTGGTAAGAAAAAAAAACTGTGGATAATATATTTATTTTGAATGAAAATTGTTCTTTTTAATTAATTTGTATTACATATATTATTATACAAGTTGTTTTTTTACTGTCCTATAATAAATATTAAATTTCCTACTAAAATTATACAACAGTGTTTTTTCGTGTTGGGTGGGCCTAAGAGAGCTCGTAAATTTCCATAAGTACTCTAATAAATTCCAACAAAAGAAATTAGTAAAATTAACAAAAAAGAGGCAACAATTATGTTCATCGTTAGTATTAAAAAAATCACAATTTGATAATTAAAGATGATGCCATTGTGTCGTGATCACGTGACTATTCGACTCGATCGCCCTCGCGATTTCCTCATGTATACTATGACTCAACCACAGTGTTTGCAATTTCCTATATCTTTCCTGACACAATCTAAGAGGATTCCCCCTTCTCAACCCCATATCCGTCTCGCCGTAATCATCCAAATATGGTGGCGAAACAAAGCTCCCTCTATGTGGCGTCGCTAGAAACAAAATCTCACATTCTCTCACTCTCAGAAAAATCCCAACCCCGGCCCCGCACATCTGTGCGTGGTAATTGCACGCCCCCACGTGCATATTATGCAGTTCCATCTGACAACAATAACTCTGCGAACACAGAATCTCCCCACAAACTAAACACATACTTGGTGTTCGGGCGTCTTCGTCACTATTTGGACACGTGAATGTCGAAACAGTATTAATCAAGTCGCTATAGTCGGTTGGTAAATCGATCAATTTTGGTACCGACAGAGGCTCGTGGACGACTTGTAAGGGAGTCCCCTGTAAGAATGAGATGACTTCCTCATGGTGACACCACTTAGATACCAATTTGAGGACTCTGTCCGAGTTGAAAAGAGTTTGGGGTGTTTGGGGGAGGTCCAAATATGTACACATGTTAGCGAAAGTGTCGCCACCTACTTCGAGTAATACTGACGGGGCAGGTACGTCGGTTAAGTAGTGATAGAAAAGGACACAGCAACGTAAAAACGGGATCGACGCTTCCTGGACTTGCTTCCACACAAGGTGGCTACTTATCCGGTCATTTGATTTGCCCATGATTTGCAACACTTTTAAAATATGATCCTCATCGCTAGTACCAGTATCCATACAGTCGGTCAACTTGTCGAAATCACAATCCATCAAAATCAGGATTCTAACGATGTGACAAATAAAAATAGTTCGAAGAGTGTACAATTCCAAGTTACCACCGGTCGGTATCGGTGTGAGGTTACGACTCGGTAAGGTAAGACTCGGTAACGCAAACGTTAAAGGTACCAAAAACCCAAACGAATCCCACTGAAGGATCGACGGTCCATCATTGCCATTCTCGTGCAAAATAGCCAATAAACTCAAGGCGTGATTATTAATTACGACACTGTTGGGCCATGTGGTACCCAAAACTCCCACGATGCGGACAAGACTCTCTATGCAATCCCTTTGTCGACTCGACAAATGCCCTAATAAGGGTTTATTCGAGTCTCGGAGTAAAACTTCAATTGCGTGAGTGGTATACGAAAGTGACTTCCACGCCATTGGTGCCAGCCTTTTATCAGAAGGGTGCGGATTTACATTTAAGCCTCTAGTATAAGTGACTTGAGCAAACAATTGAACCATATCTCTCAAATTTATATCGAGAACCGGGCAATTCTCAGGGAATAAATCTTTGAATTTCGATTGCAACTCCCCGAAATCTTCATCTCGGTCGAAGATACACGAGTAGAATACTTGGTAGGGTTGGAGCAAACAATTCGCTTCACAAATCGCAAGAGATTCAGACTCCAAATTCGTGCTGTTTGAGCCGTTTAGACATGCGGTGCAGTGCTCATTGGTGCAGTCGGTAGTATTACACTTGAACATGCCGTGACAGACTTTTACTTTTTTCTTCAGTATGACATCGATACAATCCAAATAATCTTCATAAGTAGTACCACTCTTCGGATAGCTCGGTTGTAAAACACTCAAAGGGGGAATAAGCGGCAAAACTGTATTACTTAAGCACTCACAAAGTGGACACAGAAACTCCTGTTTCTCAACATCGAAACTAGCCGGATGTCTCAACCTGTAAGGCCTTCGGTGTTCCCTTACCATTACATTATCAAAATATTTCCTCCAACATTCGCTATGCATCACGTGGCCGCAAGTACTAGTATGCGGCGCCGGCCCCATGTTCGAATTTAGATACAGAGGATCTTGCATATTAGTTAGCGCTTCGTTGTTTTTGTATTGGCATAAAACAGTCGACTGTTGAACAAAAGCGGCCAATACAAGCGTAGGACCGTCTTTTGTCACCCTCTCCTCTTCCTGACACAAAATACAAATGTAGGTCTTTTCAATCCCAAGACGTGTTGTTTGTTTGGGACCCAAAGCAATAGGTTGTTCTTCCCCACTCTCTGTTACTTCCATAGCTGACTCTTCAAACTTCGTACTGGTTTCACTCTCCTCAAACAACTCTTTATTCTCTTTCATGAAAGTATTCTGCATTGCGGTGATTTGTGCCATGACTTTGGCACGTCTTTCAGCAGCTAATTTCGCTCGGCGTTCCTTCTCACTGTCAATATCCACAGAAGTTGAAGCTTCGGCGTTACTCGGAGCCGAGCCTTCAGCTTGTTCCTTTTGATTTGCTACTTCTTTGTATTTTCTCAACACCCATTTGAGAAGATCCTTATGAGCATCAACTCTAGGACATTCTAACAAGTCAGTCAGTAAGTTAAAAATATTGAATTTAGCCGAATTGTGGATAAATTTGAAAAAGGGATAATTCTTTGATTCTTCTTCTTGTAAAGCGTAACCGATAAGGTGAAGCACTTTGTGCAATTGTAACTCTGAGAAACTCCGGGCACGAAGATTGTTACACCGTTCGAGGACTATCTGCATTATGTGTAGCATGACATCGCATTGGAGAAGATTTACAAGCATATGAAATGATTCGTTTAATTTTAATAATCTCGGAGGTGGACAACACTCTAAGTCTGTAGCGGCTTTACGTCTTTTCCTTTGCGCTTCCTCAGATTTCGACAATTCTTCTCTTGTGTAATGATAGAAGAAAACGTTGTACTCATCATAATATTGTTCTTTTAATTCGTAGACACCCTTTCCAGAGGTTTGAGTCGGTTTCTTAAACACTGCTAACTCTTCAATAACATCATCAAGCGCAGTCTCATGCGCAATATCATCGGTAATTATCTTATTTAACTCGGAATGAGGCATCGGTTTGATACACAAATGTTGTATAATCTCTTTTTTAATCCTATCTTCAGTACTAACATTAGTAATCCCCGGCATATACCTCTCTCCTATGATAACAATTAACAATTGCAAAAACTCCTCGACTAGACTTATAGTTTGCCTCATACTATCTTCTTCTGGTGCTTTAAGACTCGTAATTTCATAATTACTTAACGCCCAATTAATCAAATTAAATTTGTGCAAAACGTGAATCAGAAATTCGTTACTTTCTATCAGTGACGCGCACATTTGTAAAAGCGCAATATCTCGGTCTAGCATTTCGGTCCGACATTTGACATTGTGGTAGAAATACAATTGGTTGACTAAAGCGTAACCGTTGCGACGCCACATGCCTGCATGTACTTGAGCTATCATAACTTGACACCTCAAAACAGGCTCCATTATCTCAACGGGAGTTGGTTTGGGACACTGCATCTCATTGAAATGAATATCAAACTTCTCCAAGTAAAGGTGCAACCCCGCTAAGAACCTCGATAACGGTAGATGAATGGAGACCGGTCTTGAGGCTACATCATAAACGATACAGGAGGCGCTGTGGTCAACTAATTCGATCGCTTCCCAACGGTCGTGTGGATCGTAACAGGGATTTTCATCTAGTTTTTTCAACACGGCTCGGTAAGCTTTGATAAGAACCACCCGATCGGTACTACACCATTTTATCGCCAAGGAAATGCAATAGGCGAGTCTGATGTGGAGATGGAAAGCTGATTCCCACTCAGGTTCGTATTCCATATGTTGGCCAACTTGGCGAGTGACCGCATCCATGCCTTGCATCTTCGTGAAGAGGTTCATCAGGATGAAAAGTCCATGAAGAAAGTTTTTGCGAAGTTCGTCAGACCAGTTCTCCGGGATTGAGCTTAAGAGATACCGGAGGTCGTAAAGCATGAAATGAGCCCGTTTGAAGGCATGACTCGAGGGGCTTCTCTCGAATTCGAGCTTGCCGGCTTTGTTACACTTGGTCGAACATTCAGACATGAAAGTGTTCAAGAGTATGTACAAGACGTCATCACAGGCGATCAAATGGTGGGCTAGAGTCGGTACTGTGAACAGTTGAACCGACAGTGAGGAAATCGAGTAGGAGTGGTCATGGTCATCCTTGATGAAGTCCTTCATGACTGGTCCGTAGTTTTTGGTAAAGATTTTAGCCAACGCTTTTTTATTTTCGTACTCGAGGAGCATCCCCGAGATTAAGAGTCGTTGCCATTGTGACCTTGCACTTTTCCATAGCGTAGAGTCCTTTAAGAGTATTCCTTGAATAATACAAGTATCATTTGGAGGCGTTTCCAAAACAACTTCGGCAAAAATCGCTCGAAAGCCTTCGCCATGTCCTAGAAAATTCTGTAGCCAAGTCAGCAACTTCGTAGCAAAGATTTGGTGGGCTATGACATAAGCATGGCTCACTAGGACTTTGAGTGGTTTATTTCCATGTCGCGAAGTATATTTCTCGATTTCTTGTTTCAACTCGGTGCAGTATTGAAATGAAGAACATTTAACAACAGCACGTCCCTCACGGTCTATATTCGTGACAAACTCAATCGCAGTTCTTTGATTGCATTTCAAAACTCGGGTCAAGGTCGAAATCACTTGTTCAAAAGTATGGATTTCGTCGTTGTATAGGATGGTACAGTAGGCGTCACTATGAAAAAAGCTATCGGTGATGTCCCCAAATCGAACATCAGAGACAAAACCCGTCCTGAGAAGACAATAGGCATACCACAAAACTGCTTCAAAGACAACGCGAGTTCTCTTTTTTAGGTCATCAGGGAGGCTCCTTTGGGCGTCGTTCCTGGTACCTGCGATGTGTACATCGCAAAACGGGGCTTTTTTCCATGCCTCGACGTCCCCGCAGTCGCAACAGCCTCCGCCTTGAGATGTCCCCATTTTATACTTGTGGAAACGGTGCTCCGAATTTTTGAAACAATTGACGCAAAGGACACACGTGTTATCCATACCGCATTCGCGGCAACTATAAGTCGGTTCTCCTAACTTGAAAACTCTTCCACAGACAGAGGGGGGCTTATCCATCTCGTTCAATCGTGACAGAACCAAATTAGGGTCCCCTTTGCAGATAAACTCTTCCAAAACGTTGAATAGCAGTTTTTGAGAGAGATCCTCATCAAATCTCCAATTCAAGCATGATTCGTTCACCGGGGGGCTGTATATCTTCGGTACCCATATCTTCCAATGTTCTTTAAACTGATTGGTGTTGAGATTGTCTTTTTCAAACAGGTTGAGCCACTCTTGCACAATTTCAGTTCCAGAGACAGATGCTCCATCCGCGTACATTTCCTCGTCTATTTCCATGATGTCATGCCAGCTAAAAAAAAACGTCATAACCTCAGAAAAAAATCGATTTTGTGACTTACGTGCTGACCGTAATGAAAGGCGATTTTCGGAATTCGACCGGAATGAACGACTTTCACGTGAAAGTGAATCGTCGAAACCTTACAATTGAATTTAAAATAGATGATTATTATTAACACAAAGAAACGCAATTACCTGCAGATGGATCAAGGTTAAGCCCTTGAACGGTAGATTTTTCGACGGGATGATTTGGAATTTTAAAGCGATGCTAGTGCTGGATTTTTCGTGAATATTTTTGACTTTTAACAAGGAAATTGAAACAATTCTGACCCGGAAACTTCCGTATCTTCGGTGATCTGGGCAAATGCCAATTTGCAATGACAAATGAAATACAGATTTTTTTATTGGTTGGTTGAACTGGATTGTACAAATAAAATAAAAAGGTACACAATAATTACTAAATCAGAACAGATTTGTTTTTTTACACTATTTTGCACAGAAATTGACTAACACAATAACAAAGTCATAGTTGGATGGACAAAAAGTGTTGAAGGTAGCGATATCTACGAAAACGTCACAAATTTTTAAAACAAGAGAAACAGGTTTCTGTAAAGCTCGACACATTTAAGTTTGATTTCCTAATTTGTATCAAATTTCAAACAATAAAACACGTAAAATCTCCCTTAAAACATTTTAATGGTTTCAAATCTGTACAAGAATAAAAATTATAACGTCTTATTTAACTATTAAAAATTTTGTACCAACACAAATTAGTAGATGGCACTATTTAAGTCGCTGGAAGTGGCTAAAAACACACACCAAACTTTTAAAATTACTTATCTAAAGCTTAAGAAAACAATAAAAAATTAAAATAAATAATTTACGCACAAATGATGGTGTTTTTTGTAAATACGATAAATTACTTTGTTGTGCAATAAAACATTCACAAACACGTAGTAGAAAAGTATTATTGGTTGCATACTCTATGGCACTATTGATTTTTATTAAAAATTTGGAAATGCTTAGGTTGTGTAGAAATATTTATAAATAAATTAAAAATAATATTTTATTACCTAAGCACTATTTTAAAGGTTTTGGGCAAATTCTGAGGAAAAAGTTATACTTAATAAATAACAGATGTCTAGATGATAATAGCTATTTTCGTATTAAGAGCATAATAATTAAGCGTTTTACAGTTGACATCGTCGTATTGTTCAAAATGCCCGACCATGCATAAAATACGTTGAAGATATAAAGATATAAATATATAAATATGTAGACAATAATAGTTATTTATTCGACAGTTTGAGTGTAAATCGGACGCTTTATTTCACGAGAAGATTATCATCCACGAGGCGAAATAAATGAACCGATTTACACGAAGACGAGTTGAATACAACATTTTATTCTTTGAATTAGACTCAACAAGGTTTAAAATTGCTTTAAATCTGTTAAAAATAATCGTTTCGTATTGAGAAATGCCAAAACTTCCTTACACAGGAGAAAAGTAGTAAATTTTGACAGTGTCGAAGAACAAAAAGTACTTATTATAAGTGTTCTTTTGTGTATCTTATTTAATGAATAAACTTGTTCAACAATTGTGCGTTTAGTTTTCTTGATCAACGTAAAAAATAGTACCTACCTAAACGTTATAAGAATTTTACATGCGTTTACCTATTTGTCTATAAAAAATGTACTACTTTCCTCGTTATAGCTTTTACTTTATCATGTAAACAGCATTTGTAATAGGTTGAAGAAAAAAGTTTCGATAAAATTGACTAACATTTATTTTTGTGTCATTGGGGGATAAAATTTATTCTGCATGACGGCTTGTTTATATCCAAATATAGCTTGTTTTGGCCGATTATTTTAGGTTCATCTAGGCGTAGCGAAATTTCTTTTATATGAGAGAAAACGTGCGATGAATAGGTGGTCTTTTTTGTCAGTTTAATATTGAATTGGATTATATTTTCTGATTAATAATATTAGTACGTAATTTTAACATAACTAAAATAAAGAGCACAAGCTTATTACTCTGACATAAATCCGATAAATGCATTTTGATCGGAAATTCAATTTGGATTAAATCAGACATAGAATGACGTAATAATAACATTTAGAATAAAAAAATCCTAAATGGCTAAATCCAGAAATTGTGCTTTTATGAATTAATACCGAAACGAAGCCAATTGTTCAAAAGTTTGGGTCTTTTGAATGGCTGGTGTTGAACAAACACGACCGTAGGGTTGCTAAACTAGACTATTTTGCAGTGTCCCCGGAGCTCCGGAGTCGTGTTTGTATTGGTCTCACACCCACCAAGCGCAATAAATTAAACGAATTTCAAGTTCGTCAACCGAAAGTAGTGTGCAATATTCATGAATTTAGTTGACACGAGTTAGCCGTCCCCAAACGAACCCGTTTTTCAATTTTATTTTATTATTCGCTTGACCTCACTACTGATTCAGACTGTGATCTAATAATCTAACGCGACGTAAAAAGGTACGGAAAAATAACGCAAAGAGTGGCTTTGTAAGGCGTCGAGAGGGCGGAAATAACAAGAGCTGTATACCCTTGAATGCTTGGACCGCTTTTATTAATCAAATATAATTTGCTCAAAATTTATATAAATCAAGAAAAATAAAGAATTAACAAATAAAAATAACTTTTTTGTAGGATCTTCTTGGATCTTATTGTAACTTAAAGATGACCAAGTTGTCGAATTATTTGTCGTGTTAAAAATAAATGTTTAATGTTTTGGGAAAAAAACGAAATAAAAATAAATGTGTTACAAGAAAAAAATTATCAGATCAGATCTCAAGAAGAATAATGGTAGACTGTCTGCGGAGACAAAGAATACAAGTAGGGGTTAGCAAAAATTTTTAAAGACTTGACTCCGGGAAGTAAAAAAGTCAGGTTAGGTCAGATGAACTAAAGAGTTTAAGAGTATATATTGAAGAGTTTCTAGAGCCAAGGTACAAGTTTTTTTTTATTTTTTTATTTTTAAAATAAATGATTTGGTAAAATTTACAATACACAAATTAGTACGTTTCTTATTGCTTTTTTGTGTAAGCCTGGCAGTAATCGGTTAACAAATTAGTAAAATTTGTTAAAATCATTAGGTATATGAGCTCTTCATTTTTCGGGTGTTTTCGGCTCTATCGGCGACATGTGCTCCGCCACCATAAAGCAAATATGTACATACGAGTATATGAACTATGGCGTTTTAGAAAAAATGATATGTATACCTACTTAAAAAAATGTTACATTTGGTGAGTTTTGCAAAGGGTTAAGTGGTATTTATTTCTGTTACATGAAGTACATACAACAATTTAAATGAATATAAAGATTTGTTTTTAAATAAAAAATCAATTTATTTTTCTTATATTCAACTATTGAATATTAACTTTGTATTTTAGAATTCTTTGAGAAATTTTACTAGACGCATACTAATTGTAATCATAAAAATTATATTTTTTATAAAATTATTGTGATTACAATAAAATCATATTCATTTTTTTTTGCTATAAACCAAAACAGAAATCGTTTGATAATTTTAAAGAACATTTTGAGTCTAAACAATTTTTTTTTACCTTTTTGTTCAAATAATAATTAATTTATATATTTTGAATTAATAAATTATTATGTTTAATATGTATACAAGGTGATTCTTTTAGGACCTACATTAGAAACTTTTTAACTTCTAATGCAGATAGGAATTTAAAATTTTGTACACAACCCAAATCAACCAGTCTGAGTTCAACTAAATTATTTTCAAAATGGCTGAACTTCCGGAACTACGAGAAATTGGCTCCAACTTTGAAATTTTAAATGGTACCCACTTATTTTTATTGCATTTTTGAATTCTCTTCTTTAAACTAAGTAAAATGTACCTAGTTTTTAGTACTTAACTATCATAGTTTTTGACATATGTTAATTTTTTGGTCAAAATTTTCACTTGCAGGGGTTCATTCAAAACATCACAGCTCTTGAACCCTTTGCGATAAATGAATATTTTTTGTTGCATTCGAAAACCAAAGGTTCGAAAAGTTTTCTAAAATTTTCAAAATTGTTGACTGTCAAATTGCAAGGCTAGTATGATTTTTTGAAAATGACCATTTTCAAACAGCTTTAACTCAGTTTTTTCAAATGAAATGACTATTTTCTCAACGGCAATCAAAACTACATCAATTTGTAGAAGAACTTTTATCAACATGTCCTATACCCATCTCTTACAGTTTTTGAAATAATCACAAAAAACATGTTATTTTTATAGTTAATCACGTAGGCTTTGGAAAAATACAATAAGATATACTATAATTAATACAGATGTTCGATATGTTTACCATTTTCAAACAGTCCAAAACTCGATGGTGAACTGATTTGAGTGGCTTCCATTAGTTCATTTGGTTGAAGATTATTAAATGCCGCTTCAATCCTTGCCTCAATTCTTTGTAATTCCGGATGGGTGTGTGTAGACTAATAAATCTTTAATTCGTCTTGATCATTTTCCAAAGGCTACGTGATTTACTATAAAAATAAAAAACAAAACCACGTTTTTCGTGATTATTTCAGAAACTGTAAGAGATGAATATAGGACATGTTGATAAAAGTCCTTCTACAAATCGATCTACTTTCGATTGCCGTTGAGAAAATGGGGTCATTTTATTTGAAAAAACTGAGTTATAGCTGTTTGTTAAATATCATTTTCAAAAAATCATATAAGCTTTGCAATTTGGCAGTTGACAATTTTGAAAATTTTAGGAAACTCTTCGAACCTTTGGTTATCAAATGCAAGAAAAATTATTTACTTATTGCAAACGGTTCAAGAGCTGTGATTTTTTTAATAAACCTCTGCAAATGAAAATTTTGAGCAAAAAATTGACATATATCAAAAACTATGACAGATAAGTACTAACAACTAGGTACATTTTACTCAGTTTGGAGAGGAGAATTCAAAAATGCAATAAAAATAATTGGTTACCATTTAAAATTTCAAAGTTGGCGCCAATTTCTCATAGTTCCGGAAGTTCAGCCATTTTGAAAATAATTTAGTTGAACTCAGACTGGTTGAATTGGGTTGTGTACAAAATTTCAAATTTCTATCTGCCTTAGAAGTTAAAAAGTTTCTAATATAGGCCCTAAAAGAATCACCTTGTATGCATTATTCACATTCCTAGAGTAGAATGTTATTATAGTTACTATTTGTTTGAATTAAATTTTTTATTTAAACGTTATTTTGATTTTTTA